CTATTCTATTCTATTCTATTCTATTCTATTCTATTCTATTCTATTCTATTCTATTCTATTCTATTCTATTCGTGGGTGCTGTGAGTCCATGGACCTTCAAAATCACATTTTGCCTTTTGAATCTGAATGTTTGCACAGGCCTCCTAAAAATTTAGTCTTAACCAAATCTCTAAATTAAGAGTAATAGAACTGTAACTACTGGTAGTCCTCAGTTTCCAACCATTCACTTGGTGGCTGTTTAAAGTTACAATAGCACTGAAAAAAGTGACTTATGATCTTTTTTCACACTTATGATCACTGCAGCATCTCCATGGTCACATGATCAAAATGCAGTGCTTGGTAACTGAATCATATGTATAATGGTTGCCATGTCTTCAGGTCCTTCTGACAAGCAAAGTCAGTGGGGAATCCAGATTCACTTAGCAACTGAGTTGCTAACTTATCAGCTGCAATGATTCCCTTAACAACTGTGGCAAGAAAGGTGGTAAAATGGGGCAAAACTCACTTAACATATGTCTCACAGCAACAGAATGTAGGGCTCAGTTGGGGTCATAGTCAAGTAGTCATAGTAATGAATCACTTGGTAAATAAATATGGGATGACCGAAATCCATTTCATTTCATTTACTTAATAACTTTCTGGGATAGTTATCAAAGAGGAGGTGGCAGTGGTAGCGGTGATGGGTGCATAAAAAGTTTCACAATTATGAACTCTGCAGAAAAAGCAAAAGATGAGACTTCTGCTACATGGGATGCCATTCAAGATTTCCTCCTAAGTTTTTGCTTTTCAAATTTGGCATCTAGTAGTATGTTTGTATTTTCTACCCTTTCTTTTCCCTATGCCTTCATATAATGCAATCAGAGAAGGCATTCAATCAATCCCATCTCTGTGGAGATTGGATTCTTCTACTTGTTGTGAATGATTATAAACATGTGTGAGAGGGGGAGGGCATTGAGGAAAATGCTCTGATCTATTTCCCACCGCGACATAGGAATGGTTTTAATGCCAGGTGTGCTATCTGCTGTCATCATGCAAAAACAAGATCCTAACCAAAAAAAAAAGGGGGGGGGAATGCCTTATTTCCTTTATTGATTTGCATATTTAGCTACTTTAACATTTGCATTCACAGTTACTGAAGTACAGCAGCATAATTATTCTGCACTTGATTGAACAGCTTTCATGAACACCCGGATGCTGATAGAAAGGTATGGAAGTCAGACTGAAAAGTGGCAGAAATAATGCAAACGCATAGTCAGCCACTTCTTCTTTAGCAGTTTGTATACCTGTGCATGTCTGTGTGTCTGCGTGCACACACACACACACACACACACACACACACACTTATATTTATGGTTGATAATATTTCCTTTTATGAGAATGTAAAACACAGCTCTGCTTACTTTAAAACATAAGGGTTTTTAAATCATTTTAGCAGCAACATTATATTAGGAGAATTATAGAGCGCATGTTTTCCAAAGTGTGGGATGCGGTAGATCAGTGGCTAAGACACTGAGCTTGTCAATCAGAAAGGTCAGCAGTTCAGAGATTTGAATCCTTAGCTACCCTGTAATGGAGTGAGCTCCCATTACTTGTCCCCGCTTCTGCCAACCTAACTGTACAAAAGCATGTAAAAATGCAAGTAGAAAAATAGGTACCAGTTTGGTGGGAAGGTAACAGCATTCTGTGCACCTTCGGAGTTTCATCATGCCAGCCACATGACCATGGAGATGTCTTCGAACAACTCTTCGGCTTTGTAAAGGAGATGAGCACCGTCCCCTAGAGCCAGAAATGACAAGCATGTATGTACGAGGGGAACCTTTACCTTTTACCTTTAGAATGCATGTTTTCCAAAGACATGAAGAAAGCATCTGCTAAAACTAAGAGAAAGAAAATCAGGGATGAAAATGTCAAGTTTGTTTTTCTTTTTTTTCATCATAAAGAAAGTAGTGGAAGGAGAGGGAGAAGAGATATCTTAAGACATGATGTGGAAATATCCACTTGGAAAACAAAGAGAAAAAAAAACAGTATCTGGTCCCCAAAGGATGTTGTGTAGAAAGAGCAGAACAATAACACTTCAGTGAGCAGTCTTTACCTCCTAGGGCTAAATTTTTCATTTGGAAGAAATACATTTCACTAAGAATGGTTTTCTTCACAGGGGATGGAGGCTGAGTTGTTAGGCTTGTTTAATTAAAATGAATTAGGCTTCCTCAGTAGGAATTCTAGTTTTAAGACTGAACTGATATTGCAATGAATGAGGGGCTCACAACTCTTTAGCCTTGGTTTATCTAGTAATAGGATTGGCTTTCTGTACTTAATCCATCAGAGCCATTGCCTTAAATCTTCCCAAAGCAAGTTAAAGCAAGTGCCTTCACTTTGTTGCTCATTGTTGATCCTAGTTAAATTCTACTCATATCATAGACTTCTTTTCAAGGTGGCATTATTATTATTAATTTATTTAATATATTTATATCCCACTTTTATCATTTTTACAAATAATTCAAGGCAGTAAACATACAGTATACAACACATCATTCTCCTTCTATTTTCTCCACAACAACAACCCTCTGAAGTGAGTTGGGCTGAGCAACTGGTCCAAACTCACCAAATTTGGTGCCTTAACCACTAGACCAGGGGTCTGCAACTTTAAACACTCAAAGAGCCATTTGGACCTGATTCCCACAGAAAAGAAAACACTGGGAGCCAATAATTTAACAACTGGTATGTCTGGGTGAGCATGGCCAACTCGACGTCACTCACTTCCACCCAGTCACCTCCTGCTCTGGAATTTTTCTGACTCAAGCCTTGTTCAAATTAAACAAATACAAACTGTGTATAAAAGCAAACCTATTTTAATGTGGTGCTGAGAATACAGTGTATTCCCATCCAGGATACATTTAAACCTAATTGTCTGATATCAAAAGCAAGCCCTTTCAAGGTTGCAAAAGGCTTCCAAGAACAGAAGTCTAATTACTGATTAAATATCCACTGACGGAAGTTCTGAAAACAAACTGGAGTAAGCAAGGCTTCAACGAGGACTATGAGTCTAAAGAACTTATTTGCTTCCTGCAAAGAACACATCCCCAAGAACTGGTTTTTATCCTTTATGGGAGGGGCCATCACCTTCCAGCCTTACTCCCAAGTCGCCCTTGCTGCTTCAACTGTTCTTTCCTTCAAGCAGCCCTGCATGTGCACACACTGGGCACAGGCTCCCAGGGGTCCACTGCATCACTGCTGCCAGACTCCACAAGCTCCAAAGGCAGCACCCCACTCTCTGATAGTCCTGGCCCCATCCCTGCATCACACGCAGGCCCCTCATCTGCTATCAGACACCTCTGACATCTGCTCCTGCTGCCGGTGAACCACAACAGGAATGTGGAGTGAGTCACCATCCCCTGTCATCACCCTTACCTTCTCAGGCCAGGTGAGGAATGACGGGGAGGGGAGGGACCAGCCAGTGGTGGGATCAGCCAACAGGGAGCCTCAGCAGAGGGCCAAAAGAGCCACATATGGCTCCAGAGCTGCAGGTTGCAGACCCCTGCACTAGACCAAACTGTCTCAATTATTTCTTGAAGATCGATGATGAGGCATCTTTGGTTGGGAATAATTTAGAAGTACTTCTAAAAAAACTCATTTAAGTATGTATGTATGCATGTGTATATGTATATATACCATTAGGTCATACATACTTGCACACACATACATACATACAACTAAACTACACCTACATACCTCTTTTTTAACTAGTAACTTTTTTTAATATTCAATCTACATTCCATTCACATTCCATCATCTTCCATTCATTCTTAACTTTATTCTTCTTTTATCACACATGTTCTCACTGCATTCATCTTGTATATATTTCCTGAAGCGCAAATAAGCCTGCTGTCATATGAAACTACTTTTCCCCTTTTGATTAATAGTCAGTCCCACATATAAACAATATGTAGTATCCACTATCTCACTGTTGCCATTTGCAAGTCATAACACATCTTCAACCAACAACTTCCAACATCACTATAAGCATTCTTTGTGCATTTAACCATAATAAAACAAACAACTAAGGGGACAGCTCAGTGCTGAACCATTCACTAAGGATTCCATTTATTTCCATGCCTAGTTTTCTTCCACCTTATATTGTTCTTAACTGCATTCAGCAACTAATCTTCAATTCCATATTTATACAAACAATACCATTATTGAAGTCTATTTATTTTGTTGAATACTTTCTCTGAATCGGGTCATACAGTTAGTTTCTTTCTTATATTCATACATTTTCAATAACCTGTGAAGAGGAAAAATATAGTCTTACTGTCTCTACCAAATAAAAAGCCAAACGGCAATTACTATTTTTGCAGTCAATTGTCATAGATTTTCAGTTACAATTTTTGGCCTTCTGTAGAGTACGGAAGATGACCTTAACTTCAATATGCAAAAACTGTTACCTAAGCAAAGAGGTATGCAACACTTTTAAGTCCTGAGAAACAAGATAAATTTTGTAAGCATCTCAGGCAGACATCTCTCTGATTCACTGGAGTATAAGAAGCAGGGAGGGGTAAGGTGTATAATGCAATTAGACTTATGAGATTTTGTTATTGTAGCCAATTTCAATAAAAGGGATTCTAATCCTTCTTGTGGAGTTGATTTTCTGGTCCGGTCTACCTAATGGAGCTGACACCTTCCTAGGGACACTTTGCAAACTAATCCCATTGCAGCTTTTGCATTTGGTCTTGTTACAGACTTGGTCTTTGTATCCCGACAACACTAACACCCATCATCACACATAAATGCAGGTGTTGTTGTTTGAGGGTGTTAAGGGTAATCTTGTAGAATGTAAGCTTTTTCTAAGTAAAACTGCCTTGTACAATTGACTGATGGTGATTTTGTCAATGTCCATGGTGTTCAAGTGTTGTTCTGGGATATATATTGTATGCATAACAATGCAAAATTACAGCTGCCACTTTTTAGCTGGAGATAGCCTTCACGTGCATCAAATTCTTCCCAAGAACCTAGGATGTCATAATGTATCAGATTGCTATATGTGTGGACCCAAGCAGTATGGCCTTTGGCAACTGACAGATGGAAATTTTGTCAATGCACAGGTTTTTTAAAGTCTGCCATCCACAATTTTTTGGTATAGCACCCAGTGTGCCAATAACCAATGGGACCATGATGACTGGTTTATGCCATAATCTGTCAACAATAATTTTCAGATCTTGATACTTTAAGATCTTCTCCAATTTTTGTCTTCTTATTTACTGTCTTCTGTATTGGCCATACTTTCATTTTTATTTACAGTCTTTCTTGCTCAGGAGTCTTTATGTAGTGTACCCCCTTCCACTTTTTCCCCACAATAATCCTGTGTTTTAGTGGGCTAAGAGAGAGTAGCTGCCCCTAAGTCACACAATGAGCTTCTGTAGTATATAGTACTTTCCAATCTCATCCAATATCTTATATTTTTTCCATCTTAATCATAAATAATAAAATCAATCCTACTTTTTAATCCATTCATTTTCCAAGCATGTATATCAAGAGTATTTAAGCCATATATTCAAAACAACAGAAAAACAGTCATTTGCTGTGTTCAGTCTTGGAACTTGGAATAGCCTAACCACTGTTTCTGTCCTATCTCATCTCATTCCACACATTCATTATTGTCATCTCATAGAATATTTTTCCTTGGGTCATATTGATTCAGATTGTTGCATAATTTCCCTCAATCTCACATTTTTCACTGGAGTATAACATAAAATTACTACTGGTCAATGGGTTCCAACTTTCATACTACACACACTCATATTTAATTATATTACTTCGTACTTCCTGAGATACGTTTTTGCTCTATGATTCATGATTAAATTTTCATGTTTACTTCTCAGCAAGAATTTATCAATTCCATTCTACAAGATCAAACTATCTTCTTTCAAATCTATTATATCATCCTTTCTTTTAGTATCATAAACACAACTATTTTTCTTCTAGTCACTTCATTTGTTAACTTAAGCTGATTACCATTTAGCTCTTTTGTATTCCAAGTCACAATCTTCTAAATCACAATAAAATATGTTTTATTTATCAAGTTATTCATATCCCATGGTCATTACTAAGACAACAATTTGGTAAATTGATTAAGCACCAGCCTAAAAATCAGGAGACCATGAATTCCACTCTTGCCTTAAGCCATTTGGGTGACCATTTGAGCCAGTCACTTAAGCATTGGGAAACCACTTCCCAAAAAATTTGCCAGGAAAACTTTAGGGACCTGCCCAGTCAGTTGCCAGGAGTCAACATTGACGTTGAATCAAAAAGAAAAAAGAAAAGAAAAAGAAAAAAAATGACCAGCACTAGGTGAGTTCATAGATGGTCCTCTGTTTCGATTATGGCTTTGGTCAATCAAGATTTTCATATATGACATAACAATTTTTAATAAGACAGATAAAGTATAGCGTATCTTATCAGCCTTAGACACATTGATGTCACTTGAAATGTTCTCCCCTTCATAATTAGAGCACTCATCAGTCAAATTACTTTGACCAATATGCTATCAGCTATGTTTTTCATGTTCACACTATTCTAT